GGCTCGGGGCTCTGGACTTGGTTGCGGGGGGGACCCAGCCTTATGCGGGCTTCCCAGACCGAGGAAGAAGAGCCCGCCTCAGTCGCCGGCAGCCAAGCGAAGTCAGGGGAGGAGGTGCGGGAGGCGCTGGCGGGGAGGGAGGCCGGCGCCTCTACCTGCGACTCCGGTCTCGGAGCTCCGAGCTGAGGGTGCAGGAAGAGGTCGGAATATCCACGGGGCCGGGCGGTGACAGTGAGCACGAGTTTGCCGCGTTCGGGTCACAGCGTGGGAACTACGAGGGTGCAAGGCAGCGTGGAGCGGAAGCGTCTCTTCCCCACCCTGAGGTAGACCTGGAGGTCTCGGGGTCTTAGGGGTCCCGAGACACCCAAGGAAGGGGAAGTGGGAAAGGTGTCAGGGGAGCAGGTGACCGAAATTTGAGTCGGGAAAGCGCAGGATGCCCTAGTGCAGGAAGGGGTAGCAACGCAGAGAAAGTCACTCAGAGGTGGAAAGGGTGGGCAGATGCGCGAAAGGAGGATGCAGGGAAGACTGGACAAGTAGCTTAGGGAGTTTAAAATCTGGAGCCCAGCGAAAGTGGAGGGACTCATCCAAATCCATGCTATTGCACTGGATTGACCGGGGCCAGAATCCTATGCAGTTCTCCCAGAGGGGTGGTGTGCAGTTTGTTTGTTTGGGAGGCGTGGGGTTCGCCAGCCCAATTTCTTTCTGACTTGCTTTTTCTGGTTTCAGAGTGAGCTTTTAAGAAAGTGAAAGTACCCTGATCAGATTTTTCTACACGGTGAATAACAGCGTCATCACAATAAGGGCTTTGCACAATTAAATATATTTTACAATAATAAAAAATCAAGTTTTGTTAATCTTCATAAAACAAGCTTCAGAGAGTCAGGAACGCCTGTCCTACCCCTGCATGCTGCAGATAACAATATATGTTTTTGCAGATGAGAAAAATAGACTCAGAAAATTTGAGTCAAGCAACCACAAAAAGCAGAGTTGTATCTGAAACCAAGACACTACTAGATACCCCCCCTCCCATTATATTACACCATCTGAGTGGCCAGTCTGGGTCTGTGGTTCCTAGATTTTCCATCTTAGATTCCTTCTACCACCTCGCCTTTAGAATTCCTGGTGCAGAATCACCAGCAAGAGTTTCTTGGGCCTTATCCTAGGCTCCTTAAGGCAAAATCTCTTGGCATGGGAGCCAGGAAGCTACATTTTAAACATGTTTCCCACCTAACCCCATATTTTATATTTAAAGTGTTTTATGCAAGATGTTAATATGCCCTAAATTTTAAATTTAACCACTGTGTAGAGGAAAAGCCTTTCAGAACATAAATTCACCAAAAGTTGTTCAATATTTTGGGAAAATCACATTATGGCCACATAGCTCCTGGTACTTAGGTGTCAACAAGCACATTTCTAACTGCCAGATTCACAACATTCATGATGAGTCTACTTATATGTGCAAGCATCAGAGTACATTGCCACATTTGAATTTTTGTATATCTAAGTACATATCACATAATTATAACTACTTTCATATCTCCTTTATGTGTCAAGAAATTATCCCAATTAAAAAAAATGTGTGTAAACAGCAAATATATGAAAAAATGTTCAACATCTCTAGTCATCAGAGAAATGCAAATTAAGACAACATTGCGATTCCATCTCCAGAAAGAATGGCTATCATCAAGAAATCAACAAATAATACATGCTGGCCAGGCTGCGAGGAAAATAGAACACTTTTCTATTGCTGGGGGAGTAGACTGGTGCAACCACCATGGAAATCAGTGTGGAAAGTCATCAAAAAAATAAAACTAGAGGTTTCATTTGACCCAGCTGTTCCCCTTCTAGATATCTTCCCAAGAGTTAAAAACATCACACCACAGTGATATATGCATACCCATGTTTATATGAGCACAGTATGTAATAGCCATTCCTGGAAACAGCCCATATGCCTATCACAGATGAATGCATAAAGAAAATGTATTTATATACAGTGGAGTACTAGCCTATCATAAAGGATAAACGAGACATTGTTAGGTAAATGGATGCACCTCAAGACCATAATTTTAAGTGAAAAAACACTAGACATACAAGTTTAAATATTGAATTATTTCTCTTGTTGAGAAACCTAAAGGACAAATAAGGAGCAGAAGGGAGGATCGATATGGGGAAGTATGAAGAACTTGTCTAAATGGGAAGAAAAAAGGGACTTAGAATGGAAGGAAAAAGGGAAACAAAGCTTTTGTAAATGAAGGGAAGGAGGGTAGAAGGGAAGGGAGGGGAAAACAAAATGTGTCCACTGATGTGATCTTGGCACTGTGATAAACCCTTTGCCAAGGCACTTAGCATCCACACAGTAACACAAGGAAGGTAGCACTGGCTAAGTACCTAATTTTATACAGCCATAAGTGGATCTTGGTCTGACCTCAAAGGCTGTATTCTTTCCAAAGCACAGTGCTAGCAATCTTGAGAAATTTAAAACCATAACTGATTTACCTTTTATTTGGATAATAGCTTTTTGTATAATAGCTCTCCCAAACATCACCTGTAGCAATAAAAAGAGAAGTGAAAGTAAAAATCACCTCATATCCTCCACTCAGAGAAAATTCCTGTTGATACTTTAGGGAAGTTCCTCCTAGACATTTTTCTGCATATACACAGAAAACATTATACGCATGTATGTATTTTAACACACAAGGGGACACCATCCATGCTTTTGAACACTATTCATTCAATAATATACTTTCTTTTTGGTCAATAAATATCTACATTCCTAACAGTAGCATTTCATTATATATATAGTAACTTATTTACTGTAGCCTAAATTAGGTAATTCTTTGTTTTATATTTTAAGCAAAATATTTTGTGTATGTTTGCTGTCGTCAGACTATTTAATTTTTTAAAGGAAAAAGCAGTATATGAAATTTTTGTTAAGGATAATGGATAAATAAGCAGCTTGTGAGATAGACAAAATTATTCTTTTAAATTAGATGTATATAGTAGTTTCATTCATTTGGAAAATTGATACAAATATAATTCCTTTCTTGATCATTTTTGATCCCTTTACTGTCACCCTCACCCTTCCTCTTCCCTGACCCCCTTCATGGCCATGTTTTAACACATTTCTGGAACAGAACAGATACAGCACCAGAATGTGAGTCACTAATGAATGGCCATTTCAGGGATGGTGTGGCTGTATGAAGTAGCATCATCTGTACCCTATGACTCGGACTTCATCCTCACTATGTAGTTGAGACTGACCTGGAACTCACTATGTAGCCCAGGCTGGTCTCGAACTCACAGTGATGTTCCTGCCTCAGCCTCCTAAGTGCTGGGACTACAGGTGTTCGCCACCATGCCCAGCACATCCTCTTCTGTTAAATAGGATTCTTGCTTGTTTCACACTTTTTAGATGCAATCCATTTGTTCTGTCATATCTATACTTGACGTATCTCAGGAATTCTGCCTACCTCAAAATATAAAACAGAAGAGATGAGGCAGGAAACAGGAAGGCAGATTTCCTGTAGAAAGGGAAGAGAAATTGTCAAATTGTTCCAGAAACAGCTTATAGGCAATATGACTTTAAAACCTCTAGGATTAGTGGTACTTGTATTCAACTTGCTACTTTAAAATTGTGTTAGTGGTAACAAGGGTGTGGAACATGAGGAGGAAAGAACATGGGTGAAGAACAATTGTATAAGTAGCCTTTCCAATGTCAGAATTTGCAAAATACATTTATTTGACTTTACCTTAGAATGTATCTGGGATCAATATTGCCTTTCTGGTCTTTTTCTGGAATTCAAAGAAATGGAACTCCAGCAATCAAAAGAAGAATGGAACTGAAATGTTTTAATTCCATTTTTAATACAGCAGTAGAATACTTTGTATTCATTGGAAACACAATGGTTTTAAGGGAATTAAGTATTGTTAATATGGATGATCTATGGTTGAATACCGTAATGCAGCTACTTCTCAATTTCTTTCTGGAACTGACCATTGATTTTTCTTTTTTAAAGTCATTTTATAGTGTTTGTACAATATAAATCCAAGTATTGAGAAATAGCTACATTACGATATTCAACCATAGATCAGCCAAAAGGCTGTTTTCATAATAAGAGAAATTCTTTAGATGGATAGGTGATGGGAGGCCTAGCAGCAAAATACCCCAGAGAGGACCTATCACCTATGCTTCTGCCATGAATGAACTTTCCTATTCTTAGGAAGCAGATGGAATTAAAAGACTAGGCTTAAGGTATCTGGACACTTTAACAGGAAGACTGCCCCTCTGTGCTGAGTAAACATCTCTGCATAACTTATTCATGGCCACTGGTTTAGAAATCCTGTTTCTTTACTGCTTTGATAAATGGGATAAATTCATCTGACTTAATCCTACTTATGGTGACTACATCACTACATTTAATTGGAGTGATGCCCACATAGGGAGAATATAAACTGGTAAATTCACAACCAACCAAAAATCTCTGGCATATAAAGTATCAAGGCTTAAGGCTTGTTCTGGTCCTTATCATTTGTGTAACCTGGGATTACTTAAAATATATAAACAAATGGGTTCAAACATGAGTCTTGACTAAATAATACATTATTTTTCTTCAAGTGTATCTCTTCTCTAAAGATGCTAAGCCACTTCCTACCAGAGATGCTCCACAGATATAGACGTGTATCTACTAACTCTGTTCGGTACTTATTGAATGTTGAATATGCCTTAAGCAAAGCAGGATCTATTTCATTTTCTGAGGATAAATGACCATACCCTGTTCATCAAATAAAAGGTGGTTCGTTTATTCAGCTGCCAGGTTGAGGAAAGGCTTCTTCTCACAGTTAATAATAAAAGTACATTCATGAGCAAGGCACTTTTATACACACACACACACACACAGAAAAAGGAACATATAAAGGACACAAAAACATCAACATATTTTAATTTTCAGACCTCTTCCCTACCTCCTCCCATGTCCTCCTCTTAAAAAAAAAAAAAAAACCAGGAAACAGTTTCTTATAATTTATTAAAAAACAATTTTGTAGAACATCTAGATAGGAACAGTTTCAATATATCAGAGGTTAACACTAACAGATGGCATAGTTTCAGGTCAATTATTCTCACTGAGGAATTCTTTTTCCTAACTACAATTTCCTCATTTTCCCTTAAGACAGAACAATTAAGGCTCAGCAGAAATACACATTAGGTTATATTCTTTGCTCTCCTTACACTTACTGTGCATTTACAGATTGTGATTCCAGCACTGCTTCAGTCCACCTTATATATAGCACTTAATTATGGAGATAGGAAAAAATAAAACTGAAATAAAGAGTGTATCTGATACACTTTTAATCTGTTTTCTGATTACCTTTAGATGCCAAGTTATACAGAATCACACACAGGAGATACACACACACATATTTTGGGGGGGTACTGGGGATTGAACTCAGGACCTTGGGCTTGTGAGGCAGGTGCAGCACCACTGAGCTAAATCCCTGGCCCAGGATTTATATTTTATTGTAGAGAGAAAATTTAATATTTTCATATGTTTTGTTTTATATATATTGATTTCTAGGTACTGATTATCTGTATATTAACTCATTTAAATAAACACAGTAAGATTCATTTATAAGGGCATATATTATCCCTTGTTTGGGCAGAAGAAAATCTAATTTACTTAGAGAAACAACGCCATTAAAACTCAAACTTCAGATTGAATTTGGCTGACATTTTCTTTTTTTGGTATCGGGGAGCAAACTCGGGTCCTTGCACTTGCAAGGCAGGCAGCAGAACCACTGAGCTAAATCCCCGGCCCCTTAGGCTGAGATTTTCTACAGAAAGTTTCTTTAAAATTAGGAAGGGTTCCTGAACCATTTGAAATGGATGTAGAAAAGGGCATAAATTTCTGTTCTAGGAAATGTTATACAGATGAAATATTTTAATCCTTTAGCAGTTAATACTGGAAGGAACGTTTTCTCTTGGTCCTTTTCCATCCATCTTTTCAAATATATTTCATTTGTTCTTGATAAAAGCCTGGGTGCCAACACTCAGGAAACACATTCTCCACAGAATGTGTTTAAATCCAAGGGATGACCTTATGCGCCAGCTTAGGTGAAGCCAGCCTGCTGGGGGCTTATGATACAGAATATTCACGATGCAACTGCAGGTTTTGGAGTAATGTAGGCTGGATTTGAAATTTCCCGCCTCAAAAGAATCAGGAATCTTAGGAAATACAGGGAGATAAATTCATATTCCCACCATTTTCTTTTCTGTAATTATCCAATTTATTTCCATTACCTCCCTAGAAAGGAATGTCAGCAAAGATCATGCTCAGAAAGGTTTATTTTGGGGGGCGGTAAACAACTTCTTGCTTTCTAATGGTTGAGTACCACCTCTGTAGTAGTGTTGTGTTGATTGAGTAACAAAAAGGGTAATGGTCTACTTTTCCCTTCCAATTAAAAATCAGATGTTAAACTAGTTAATCTATCAGATGTTTAACTAGTTAAAGTACAGTCAGATAGGCAGAGTAAATTGAAGACTGGAGAGAGTGCCAAGTGTGGAAAATATTTAACTTATCTTTTAAAATGTGGTCCCTTTTAACTACTTCTTCTTTGGCAGCTTCATTTATCCTCAGAAGTCATGTTCACAATGCACATTTTCTGTACCTCAATTATAGAACCCTTATGATATGTACTTAGTACATATCAGTATTTCAGCTTGTCAGGGCATAGCACAATCTGGTTGAAAAAGGCCTAAGTTTTCAAATGTATACTGTACAGTTCACCCCTTTCTTAATCAGCAAAACCAGAATATATTAGAACAAATTTTTTTTTTATAGTTTGGGTTTCCCTAACCAATTCAGTTAGCCAGTCACAGCAATACCTAGAGGCAGGTTAGTCAGGAATCTGTTTTAAGTATTCTAGTATGCGAATGGCTTTACCCTATGTCATGGCTCTACCCTATGTTCAGCTTAACCCTTTGGTGGCAAATTGCAGGGCTCCATTTAGAGTGGAATAATCTCTAGAGAGCTGGTCAGGACTTCTAAGGAGCTTTTGAAAAGGTAGGACTCTTAAAGAAGCCAGTTTAGGCACCCAATGGGAACAATGGGAGAGACTTAGACCTATCTCTTGAAGTATGTGGACTGGTGTACTTGGATCCAAAAAGTATACAGGATATAACCAGGAATTAGTATTTCAGGTTTTCCAAGTGATAGAGTATTTTAAAAGGCCTTTACTTGTCAGGTAAGACTCTCAAGATGTGCTGGTGGGTTGTGTTTCATGGATTCCCATAGGCTAGGTGGTTTCTCTAGAGTCTGAACTGGTACTGATACTGTGAAGAGACACACTGTGCCTTCTGTTTTGTTGGCAGTGGTAGTGTATCTACTTGGCAATACAAAATGCTCAGTGGTTGCATGCTTGCCTGCTGATACAGCAACATTTGTGAAGTGGGGATGATGGGATGAGTTGTTAAGGACACCTTGTATGTAAGGATCTGAGGTTTTCCATAGGTGATGCAAATGCCCTTGAAAACTGATGACTTAGGGGGAACAGATATAATTCCCAAACCTGCTATCTGAAACTCAAGTTTGTATTCTCTAAAATCAGAGAACAAATTCTAGGAACTAAAGAGGTTAAGAGTAGGAAAAATTTATTGAAACACAGCTTCTAAGAGAGACCGGAAAGAGGGTTGCCTGCCCACCCTGCTTTTCAAAGGTGTTTTATACAGCAAAGCCAAGAGTGAGGTGGGTACAAAGTGGGACAAAACTATAAGACCCAATGGGAAATTATAAGGTGGGCATGAGGTGGGACAAATAAGATTACAAGTACAGTCACCCAGGTAATATTGATTAAATGGGAATCTAGTGGGAAAATAAGTCACATATAAGAATTCTAGAAAGGAAATAGGCTAGGGAGATTGAGCTCTATTTGGAGTATCAATCACTATCTCTTAGGGAAGTAGTACCTCTTTTCTTTTTGTAATGCTAACCAGTGAATGTGCCTTAATTGTTTCTCGATGGTGAGGGCCCAGCTTTGTCTAACTGCCTTATAATAATTTCTAACTAATTTAACTATCTGCAATAAGACTATCTAGAAAGATAGTCCTATTCACCTGTGAATGAGAACACTAGACACATGATTAAAGCCTGAAAGCACTAGGTAATATTACTGTCCATTTAACCTTAGGCTATCCAAGAATACAGATGTTGAACAAGAAGCCTTATAGATTTTCCCCTATTTATATCAGAATATATAACAGGTTGATGTTCCTGTTAGCAACAGTTCTTTCAATCACAAAATCGAGAGAGGCTGGGGCGATTTTAATCCTTTGTTGGCAACTAACTGGGGCAGTTTATTTTAAAATATGCAGTTATCACCCAGAAAATTACTTCAGCAAAAGCACAGCCCTTATAACCAAAACTCCAAATAGAGTTTATCATTTTACCTTTAGATGTGCTCGTGGGGATTAGTTTTATGAGACCTCTCCTGGTAGTAGAGATGCTAGATGCCAGGACTCTTGCTGGGATCTTACACATTGTAGTTATATGCCCAATTTATATAAGCTGTTCCAGAAAAAGAAAAACACGCATGAAAACTGACTGGTTCCTTCTGAGTACAAAACACTAATTTCAAATCTACAGATATAAGAAGAAAATTATCATGTTCATTTTCACTTGCAAAAATGCTACTTAACAGAAACCAATAGCATACTAAAGAAAAAACAATGGTATAATCAAGTAGAGCTTATCCTAGAAAGCAATACTAACTTAAGTTCAGAAAATCTGTTTCCAAAATTAAAGGGGAAAAAAAAAGGATAATTTCAACCTTTCTTATTTCCTGATCAACATTGTTTTGTTGTGGTACTAGGGTAAAACCTGAGGCCTTCACACTGAGATACATCCTCAGCCTTTCTTTTTTAAAAATCTTGAGACAAGATTTCACAAAGTAGCTAATGGGCTGGCCTTGAACCTGAGTACCTCCCACAGAGGAATAGAATGCTGTGATTATAGACATACACCACCTTGCAAGGCTTCCTGATACTTATATATGCTTTAAAAGGACAAAGCAAAATAAAATACTCTTAACCATGCTACAAAGAGAAGGTATCTTTTCCAACTTGGTAAAGTTCATCTACCTTAAACTTGAAGCAAATATTATCCTAAATGAGATTAGACATAGCTCCTTTAAAAGTGAAACTAGGTAAGCATGACCACGATGATTGATGCCATCTGATGTGGTACTAAAAATCCTAGTTAATGTGACAAATAAATGACAGAAAGCTGTATGAATTTATGCTGTTAACTTCTATACCAGCAATGCTAACCAGAAAATATATATTGCACTGTAGGAAAAACAAAACAAAAACCTCTAACTCTGCAGAAAATAATCATTAATCAATAATATACAAGATCTAATTAGATGTAGAGTAATTTCATGCTCTCAGATAAAATATACCAATTTTAAATTATACAATTCTAATCAAAAATTTAAAGAACTCTATAAACGAGCTTTATAGTTTATATGGAATATAATTCTAAACAAACTGTTTAAACAGAAGACTAACGGGAGTTCTTGACCTTCAAAATATAGAGACCCATTACAAAAACCACAGAAATTAGGGTGAAATTAGCATAAGAACAAAGTGAACAAAGTAGAGCTCAGAAATAAAGCCACATATAACTTGAGAATATAGTACAAAATAAGTTTGGCATATAAAGAAAGAAATAGATATATTTAGTACATTTATTGGTGCCATTAATGGGAGCATTAGATGAAGAAAATTTAAACTTCATCCCTATAGAATGTCATGTATAAAGGAGAGAAAAATAAAGGGGATGGTAAAACTGTAAATTAATCAAACATAATACAGGAGAATCTTTATGACTTGAAGGCAGGGAAATACTTTTTCTAAAAAAATGCACAAGACCATAAATGATTAAAACATAAAAATTAATGACTTCTGCACTCAACTAAAGGTATCTTGGAAAAAAACTAACTACAAATCACCTTTTTAAAACGGTAGAAACTTCATGGGGTTAGGCTGTAGCTCAGTAGTACAGAGCTTGCCTAGCCTGCTGTGAGGCCTGTCCTCTGATTCCCAACACAGCAAAGAAAAACTATGTAGCAACTGCAATGAAGAAAGGACCAGAATATCTAATTAACAGAAGAGGAAACCTAGAGGAATTAACAATACGATCACATTATGTTACCAGTTTGGTAAAAATGAGAAAGCAAGGTGTTAAAGAGCTCCTTTTAGGAACTGACACTGCTCATGGGATTGTATACAGTGGTAACAATTATGAAAACCAGTCTGGTAGCAATACCTAGCTGAATTAGCTATTTGTCATGATCCAGCATTTTGAGTGTACAGCAAAGAAATTCTTCATAAGACAAACATGTAGTAGACTATGCTTTCAAGCTTCATCAGGGATGATAAAGAGAAGCATTTTACATTTCCGTTAATGTAGGACAGGATGGGTAAGATGTGGTAAAAGCACATTAGAAGTCAAAGTAGTAACATGGATGGACTTTAAGTCATAAAACTCTAAATGAAAAAAAGCAAGCAACAATATTAACATCTCATTTATTCCACTGTGAAGAGGTAGTTTCCAAAATGAAATATTGAACATCTCTAGTTTCAAATACCCTCAGTTGTGCTACCTAGCCATATGGATGGTTTCTGATCAGGAAATTTCTTCTAATGAACATTTTTAGGTTTCCTCACATTCTTTTTATACATTTCAGTTTCTAGCACAGTATTTGGCATGTACTAGTAGGGGATCTTTAAGTGTATTTGAAACAATTTGTGAGAGAATGACTAAGGCTTGAAGTAAATAACTATGGGTATATATGAAACACATACTTTGTTTTATTCCTGGGAGAGAAGTATTCCCAAATTATATTTTGATAATTTAATAATATATTGGATAAAGACAAAACAATTTTTAAAGTAAAATCAACAGATGATGCTATGACAGCAAAACAAAGGAAATTGCTTAAAACGTTATGAAACATGAATGTAAATTATTTTTAATTTTAGCTTTTAATACTATCTGTCAATCAGAAAAGAATATTCTAGCCTCTGTCATATGTAGAAAAGTTTTTTTTTCTTTTTCTTTTGGAAAAAGTATTTACTAGTGAACTAATAAATACATTCATTTCGGTTAATAAAATTGGGTTTATTTTCAAAACTTTAAGATAATGGTATTTCAAAAAAAGTTCAGAAAAGTATGCTCCACATTATGAATTAAATTAGAAAGAGAAAATCAGGCCAAATCATAACAAGTTATTCCATTCCAATGAAGCAAAAACAAAAAGTTAAAATTAAATTCTATATGCAAAGGCAACTATGTTTTTTTTAAATTGAGTTTACCGGTACATTTTAGGTATATAGTACAGTACAGTTACATTCATTATTGGGATCTTGTACCTTTTTTATTTTTTTGAGTCAAGAGAATGGGATGGTTTTTAATTATTTTGTCCTCGTATTTTTACTGTTTTCATTACAACAAGGGTGCATCTGCAAAATTAACTGCCTACACTTCATTTATGGTGTTACTCAAAGCATTCTTTAAAAGCCTTACTCTACTTTTTTAAATCAACACTAAGAAAAAGCCTATTGAAAGGCACACATAAATTCGATACATATGACGTAAAAGTAAGTCCACTGTTTTTCCTCCTTTACATTCTAGGTATATAATTTTTCCACATCAAAAGTGAATAACCACATTACTCTATACACTTAGATGTACAATTTACCTTTAAAGAATGACTGCTTTGAAATTTTGGAACTTAACAGCTTTAATATGCATATTCCTTAGTTTGTGTTATTTCTTGAACTAAACTGTTTACCTAGCACATTTGTTTTTCTCTTCCCTAGAATTAAAAGCAAAAGTCAAAAATCATGTAAATTTCATAGCAGTGAGATGTTTAAATTTAACCCAGCTTCTTTCAACACTGAAGAAAAATATAATTAGGCTGACCCCTGGTGGCCAGATGCCTCATCCTTCAGTAACTGACAAAGTGGTAGTTTCTCTTTAGTAGATAAGATAGCCAAATCAAATATAATATTAATATAATAATACATAATAATATAAAAATAATAAAGATATTATCTGTAATTTAATAATGTAGCAGAAGTAGTAAGCACCTAAAGCATAAAAAGTGGAGCAATTAAAGCCCACAAAATGAGAAAAACTAATGAAATACTAGTTTATTCTTTTAGTTTACCACTTGACTTTGCATTAAAAACAAATGTTATATTCAGAGGTCCTCAAACTATGAATAGTTCTGTGCTGTCCAATACTTTGACTACTAGCTACATATATCACTGAACACTTGAAATGTGGCTACTGTAAACAATATCTACTTTACAAGACTTGGTGAGAAAGAATGTAAATTATTTCAATTTATATAATTACATGCTGAAATATTTTGGTCATATTTGGTTAAAAAAATTAATTCCCTTTCTATATGTCTTTCACCAGAGCTTTCTAGGCATTTCACAGTTTATAGTGAGATTATAAATGTTACCAGTTTATTACATGTACTCTCAGGCTACAATGCTTTTGCTCTGGTAGATTAACCTGAATCCCTTTCTTGATTTTTTGAATTAGACATTTTAAGTTCCAAAATACAAAACACTCAATGCTACCATATCCATTACTTTAGTATTTGAATATCTACACAATTCTAGATATCTGGAATAGAAAAGAGAATTATAACACACATTATGAGAATATGATAGAATCCTATAGCAAACTGTACCTCAGTTAGCTGACTTTAAAAGGGGATTGAAGCAGAGTGTGGCGGCACCTACCTGTAATCCCGCTGAGTCAAAAGGATATCAAGTTTTAGTCCAGCCTGGGGAATTTAGTAAGACTCCCTCTCTCTCAAGGTAAGAACAAGCTGGGGATTTAGCTCAGTATGAAGGCCCTGGGTTCAATCCCCAGTATTATCACCCAAAATAAATAAATATTGGCGTTAACTTGCAGGGGTTGTTTGTAAGGATTAAACAAACTGCTGGGAATGGTGTCTGGCAAATTTTAGGAGCAAACAAAGAATAAGTTATTGTTAGGTATCAGTATAAATAAACCTCAAAACCCATATTGACTCAAAAAAGCCAGTTGTAGTTATGATTATTCAGAGAATGGTTAAAACACCCCAAACAGTATAATCTATTCATTTAGAACTTTATTCATACAGCTATATAAAAAATTGTGAAAATTAACAGTAAATATGAAATATCAAATTTTTTGTGCTAAGGGAAAGTAATTTGAAAAGAGAAATGTGTGCAGACAGCTTTGTTATGTTTTATTTCTAGAGCTGGTGTAGCTTCCCTCCACCCTCCTCTGGTTGGTTGTGAACTGATATAAGGCATTAACAGGGAAAAACATTCATGTACTTAGAAAAGTACAGAAGACTAGAAGGGTGAGATGATAGCTTACATACCATAATGAATGATAGAAAAGAATAGGGTCTTGGGACTTCTGCGGCAGGGGTGGTGACGTAAGTTAAGAAAGGGTCAGGAGAGGAA